CAGTATTAGTTAATAAGGATTGCATATCGGAGTGCGTCTTCTTGTACTGTACTTACGTCAAGAATATCGATTACTTATTAATATATAAGTTACCACAATTCATGTGCGACATTGATGGCTGCACTTGGAACTGACAATGTGAATATATAGCTTCGGACGGCATATAAGTTTTATATTATTTGATGTGTACGAGTAGAAGTACACATCAATGAACGCTCAACTCGAATTTCCGTGCATTGTCACGAGCACTTTCCCTTTCACCGTAACCTCTTTATGTGTTGAAAGTAACTATATACAGTTCGGAAGCCGCTTTAAGCCCAAAAGCCAATGGAACGTAGTAAATCGATCATTTTTTATTTGCCTTTGTGACGTCAAGGACACTGTTCAATCAGAAATCGTCCTAACAAAGATACAGTGAGAATATCGGTCGATTATATAATTTTCATGATCAGTTAGCAGAAACAGACCAATGCTATAGTGCGCACACGAAACAAAATTTTTAAACAACGAGGTGATTGTGCTTGCCGTGGAATCGAAATCATTTCACAAGTATCTAGCTTTTATAAAGAAATGCAATGAAACGAGGAATGAACAACCGGAACAAGTCTGCCATGCATTTCAATTTTTCACCAAATTAAAATTTTTCTATCGCAGTTAAATTATTATCAGAAATCGATCATAACCATCGTTTCCTCGCGAAAATGGTTGATGATCAACTCGACCAATGCTCGATCGATGTCCAGCCGATATCACAAGCGCTGAGCTGAATGAACGTTCACGCAACAGGAATGCAGAATTGTCTCGTCGTATGTCGGTGGCGGTGGAAATATCGCAAATTCCGGTAATAAATCCAGCGATGTAATAATTGTATTAATATTAAAAGGAATGCTGGAGATGTTCGGTATGCTGCCGTAAGGCGGTAAGGGTGTCGGCAAATTCGTCATACTGCCATAGACGGGAGGTAACAGCGAAATCAGATCAACGGAATCGCTTCCACTTTGTTCGTCTACGGTGGGTGGCAATGAGGAGTGATAATCGGGTGGAGGATCGGAAGACATCATTGGTGAACTGGCTCCAACCACTTGACGATGGGTAGCTTCATGCAGCAGTTCCTATTACGCGCGTCGGTCGTGGTCTTGTCGTGGTGCTAATAAGAATTTCACAATCTTCCGATGAACCCTTAAAACAGCGACGGTCACTGTTTTTCAATATACAGCGTAGGAAGATGGCGAGCAGTAATATAGATGGAACTACGGCGGCAACTGCAAATAAAAATGTCCTCTCAAATCGTGCTGTTTAATAGAATGCTAAAAGGACACTTATATACAAGTACGTACATCAAAATACAAAAAAACAACAAAACTAATATACATAGCACCGCATTAGGAAGTCCTGAAAGCATAATAATTATGTCTTTAGCTATGAACCATGTATATAGATAAATGTAAACTGCTGAAAATATAGCATAACTGATAAAGCAATGAGCTATATTCAAGACCTTGTATAAGTGCGTACTAGGTATTTTATACCGGAATACAAAACATGAGCAGTGAGCACTTCACAGTTTTGATTGCAAAAAATTAAAAACGTGGAGTTTCGCAAATTTGTCAGCTGTTTTCCAAAAACAAGTATTCAAATCATCTAAATACTTATTCTTTGGTTTATACATAATATTAGAGTATTAAACACTATTTAGAAACAGTAATTATTTACTTTTATAGCTTCGGGACAAAACTCTTTTTTGGTCAATGTCATTCGATTGGCTTATTCAGCACTTAATTCCAAATCGAGTACGTGAACAAAGGGCTTTAACCTCGTACTTCACAATTTCTCGTATTTGCCAAATAGCACAAACAAATTTGCGATATCGCCAAATAGGAAGTCAGAAATGAGAACAAAATGCATTCGTCATATTATATATAAACTATAAACTACCGCAAAAGACATTTACGCAAGTAAAATTAACATTACCGGCGCACAATCTGCAGTAAATTCATCAGCGGGATGCCGGTAACACAGGTGTCAATATATACACTAATTAAATGACTGCTTTCCGCGCACGCATTGGATTACTATCGAAAATCAAATTTCCGACACGCCTTAAGCTTGCCACTTTTAAAAGTCTAAGTTATACAAGTAAATTTATTGCAGATTGTGAGTGTCAGCGTCCAGCTGCGCTTTCGTAAATTTCTTCAATTTGAGAGAAGGACGATCAGCACACTATTACCGCATACTGCAAACATTTTGCCTTTCGATTCGAGATTCGGATCTTGCTGTTGCATCACACAGGTTTGAAACTGCGCCTTGTGATCGAGTGCTCAAACGAAATGTCTAAATTTTGGTTTTCTAAACTATAAATACATTGCTATGGAACATGTAGCGCTTGCAAACTAAAGCCTTTGTTACACCTCCGTAAAGATATGTAATCAAAATCTTGTTCCAGCAAAAAAAAAATTTAAAAGAAGTCCACAATGAATTTCGTAACTTTGTCGCACAGGTGCAAATATGCACGTAGCGTTGCATTAATTGTGCCATATGGCATAATAACCACTTGGCTAGCACTTACCGCAAACCCCGAAAGTAACCCAATCCCACATATTATACGGCAGCAGTTGGACCGTGGCGAATTTGTAATCCCAGAGATAACCGTGGAATGATTCGCGTATAAGAGCACCGTACTACTAAATTAAGGATTGGAGTTACTGATAAGGAAATATGGGTGCATGCGCTGCCGCCCGATATGTTCGCTCGCACCAGCACCGTACGCCGATCAACTGATTGAAGCAGTGATCGAACAACTTAAAGGACAAATCAAAAAGCTGTGGAAATTCGATGCCGCGGTGACGAACGATCAATGCTTGGACTGCAAATATAATTGTATCGGTTTTCCTTTTAGGCTTAGAGTACCATGACAGCGGCAGTAGTAGCAGGCGACGGGGTATTTGCGTAACAACGAACGGAACACGTGCAGCCGTTAGAGAGTGTATAGCTAACTGCGTCGCACCATTGACATGCGCTGTATTCTCGGTCGGAAACGTCGTCGTCAGGGCAAACCTGAGTTCCGGTACGCGGGTTGCATTGTACCACGACGTGCCGTGCCAATCGATTCTCGCACAAAATGTCCAACAGCAATTCTAATTAAACCACACCAGTCTGCGGGCCTAAATGTTAACGTTAGCGTCGCCCGCGAATGTGGCGTATTGAACCGTGACACCAAGGTTTGCTGCATAAACCTTGCCGGTAAACTGCCATTCAATCGTGTAAAACAGCCTTGAGGATGCAATATGTAGTACTAAGTAATCATTCAATACCAGCGCGCCAAACGAAACAGGTTGCAGGTTATTAATGGTAATCTTGTGCATAGCGCGGTTATGGTGTGCAACGGCGATAAAGTCATATTACAACCGTACTGCTTGGCGCTCGGCCAGTTCAAGTTGTTTATGAATGGCAGCGGTAATGTGACGATTGACGCGCTACGCTGACCAGTCCTTTGTTTGTATCTGAAAGACGGTAGAACTACATGACAAAAAAACCTAATGGCATGTACAGTGTAGGCAGGTAAGAATATGTGCATAGTGATGGTTTTTTAGGTCTGCAGATTGCGGAACTACGGTTCTGTGGATTCTGGACTAATTAACTACCACAGCCAGTTCAGCAAAATTGTTTTTTCATGCGCAATTGTATTCCGGAAGTTATTTTATTTCAATGACGTCAGTTAATGTTATCTCACTGGTCAGCTGCAGTGTGCTAACATAAACTATTGCATGCATATGATCAGTATTGTAACTTGCAGTTGATTCATTAGTAATTAATTGTACGAAACAGACTGAGATCACCAAATTAACTAAAAATATATATGTATAAATAAGTATGTGTTCATGCCTATGTTATAATCGTAATATGCTGATTTAAAAACTTGCATGCAACGCACATCAAGTTCTTGACCTTTTGTTATATTTCCTGTCTCTAAGAGCCTTGTTGAAACATCTTTAAAATAAGCTAAGTAATCAAAACCTGGAAGGTCGTTGCCGTTTCTGTGTAAGACGGGTTCCCCGAAAGACCGGCGAATGTGGGGCAGTTATTTATGCAAGAAACTATAACAGTACGGAACTGTAATGATACTCCTAATTAATGGGCAAGTACGCAGGTTTTAGAGGTGGAAAATACTGAATCATAGGTGCTTAAGTAATTTTAATGGCAACACGAGTGCAACATCCAGAATAGATCCGAGGACGAAACGCATTACACAGGTATTCGTGTTTAAGACAAACATCTGCATATCCACAGAAATCTGGGACTTACCGTTAGGTTATCACTTATTACTGTAGCAGTTACGACTAGGTACTTACAATTAATGGTTCATACTTTATATGGTACACCGGCACTGGAACACAAAATAACCATACTTCTAGCTATAAAGCATGCATGTACCGTATACCGTAGATGTCAAAGATGTGATTGTGAGAAAATAGTTACAACAACACTCTTTATGTAAAGTTATAGAAGTATTATAATACTTTGACCTATTGTGCAATAGTTTTCAATAGCAAAACTGCTTTATATATTAAAAACAATGATTTGATACGCATGAACGGCACATACGGGATCATGTTTTAGCATTTTGTTAATGAACTTGGTCTGATTCTGATAATTGTTTTACAATTATTTTAATGATTTTGAAGTTTAAATATTTATGCATGGTTAGCATAATAACACGAAAACATTTTGAGAGCGTTTCAAACTAAAACACCGTGCTCTCGACTCTCGTATCAGCCGTACGTATGCGTAGAAGCTCGCGCACTTATGACTTATCTACGGTAATTCTGTGCCAGTCATCTGATCTGGTCATGCAAACGGTGCAAATTCCAAACTTCTGCGACTTGTTGAGAAACGTATTTAATGTAAGTCAGTTTTAAAATTTAGTGGGAGTTATCAGACTTATTTCCCGTAGGATCTTTACATCGGCATAATGTCTAGAGTAGTGTTGTTCGTCTTTCCTGGCAGGTAAGAAACAGGAGAGTTAAACTAGATTGACTCTTCAGTGCCTGAGCAGTGTTTAATCATCTCATTGTCAGTGGAAGATGTTTGGAAATCCTCGAAGCTTGTTTGTAACAGTTTGTGTAGATCTGCGCTGATGGCTGGTTTATTTATTTTTATAGAGCTGTCCTCCAGTTTGGCCTTGAAAGTGGCCGTTCCCGATTTCGGGCCTATTACACCGCGTCGGGGTTATTCACCTGCCCTACGCGGAAATCAAAGAGCCCTTCACAGCGTATTTTGACCTAGAGAACAACAGGAGCCGCATTGACTACTATGGAGGTGGGTGTTTTGTGCTGACGTAATGCCGCTGCGTTGGAGCATTCACTGTAAACAGCACGTGTCTTCCTACGCAGGGATGGTCATGACCTACCAGCGGGGATCAGATGACGTACGGCGTCTCCTACAAGGTGGCACCGAGACAACGGAGACCCAGACCAACGTGCAGACATGCTTCCAAGTCAATGGCACCAAGGATAACGAGATACTACCTCAGTCAATTGTGCCCGATCTCACGGAATTCACTGTAAGAGCTTGCTTAACCATTAAAAGTACAGTATACAGTTATTTTTACATTTCGATATTGTTAAATGCATCTTTTAGCAGAAATTTTTGGTGTGCGAAATTTTTCTCGAGTTTGCGTCATATGCCTTTTTTTGCATAAATTTCTCTAACATTAAAATTAACTTTAATCAGTTTTGCAGGAAAATATTGTTTTCCTTGAAATAGCAAAAAAACAACACTTTAATTTTTTGTCGAGTGTTTTCTGCCGCTTGAAAGTAATATACAGTATTTATAATTGTGTTGGCTTCCAGTAACAGCCAGTTTTAAATTCAAAACACAATGGCAATGGTCATTTTGTGGACTACCCAGTATCACTGCAACGCTTACTTTGTGCATATTCACGCTTTTATGTATGTACTCGTATTACTGGTTGGCGGTTTTTTAAAATGTGCAGAGAGTTATCCTTTTGTTGTCACAGTGAGGAGGTGGTCCGGTTTCGATAATTAGACTTACGGCTAGATTAATGTCGGATTTTCTGTTTAATTACATTGGCAGCTGAAACCCCTTCATGTTTCAATTTGTTTGCAGTATAAGGTGAAGTGTCCTGCAAATGGGAACATGTGACAGTCAGTATCTAGTCACTCAAGTGGGCGACCAGATGAACCGCTACACCTTCCTGCTGACACGCTCAAAGGATGGCGCTCCCATCCCGCGGCATTATGTGAAGGGATATGACAGCCTAATCGGAAGTCATTATGATAAATACGTAATCTCCTATATCCAGTTCGATCCGGTCAAACCCGATCCATCAGGTAAATTGATTATTCCATATGCATTGGCAGGAGTATCTGTAGGATTAAAATGGCAACGCATCAGCTGACTATGAAACGCCCATACAGCCGAAGATGGTAATCGAAACTGATGTGAACAATTGAGTTATCTACAGATTGGTAAAATCAACGTAGTTACATAAATTTTCTTTATCTGGAGTAAATTTATATTGCTTTATTTAGTGCAAATGTAAAGTTTCATCTGACTTTATGAGATTCGATTACAGGTGCATCGTTTATGTAAAATTAATTTATGCCTGATAAAATTTTAGTGCCTTTTACACCGTTATATATACTGTACTAGTACGATACTGATTCGAAGGAATGATTGCTCGCGACTGTACACTTTGCTTCTATGACTGTTTCGCCTTTGCATTGAAATACGTAGTGATGATTAGACTGGCGGTAAATTCTTTGATTTTTTGAATGCTGCTTAACTGTTATTCTTTTCATCTTTTTAGTATTCGATATTCCGCAAGGATTGGTATGCGGTGGATTTCCTGGTCCAGCTCGGGTGTGGAGCACATTGTGGAAGCCAACCCCATGCACGAGTATGTGCGTCGTGATCATAGCCACATCCACCACGCTTTCGAAGACTTCAAAAGAATCATCAGCGGGACTATAATGACAAGGAGCATGCCGTTCGCATCCGTCATTTCCGTCATAATTACCGCTTTGTTAAAAGTCACAATCGGGCGGGCAAAACTTATAAATTAAAGATCAACCATCTGGCTGACCGATCCGACGACGAACTAACCCGTCTGCGAGACGATTGCCTTCCAGGGCAAGAAACAACGGCCTTCTCTTCAATAAAAGCAGTTCAAAAGAAGGATATTCCCACGGAGATTGATTGGCGTCTGTATGGAGCGGTAACGCCGGTGAAGGATCAGGCTATTTGTGGATCGTGCTGGAGTTTTGGCACTGTTGGATCTGTGGAAGGTGCGTTGTTTGTGAAGACCGGCAAGTTGGTTAAGTTAAGCGAGCAGAATTTGGTGGATTGTTCATGGGGATATGGAAACAACGCATGCGATGGAGGCGAAGAATGGCGCGCCTATGAGTGGATTATGAAACATGGAGGCATTGCCACCGATGAATCTTATGGACCTTATTTGGGAGCGGTAAGGCATTGATTAGTCATTTGCTGAAAATTGATTGAAAATGTGGAATTTATAGCATTATAGTACAGTGAAATCATTTGCAGAAAATTCTCCTTTTGTAGGTTATTTCAGTGTGATTTAAAATGGTTATCGTACTGTGTCGATTTTTGTTTTTTCAACCAAGAAATGTTTATGAACTTATGTGAGCTCTTATCTCATTTATTGTCGCTGACCACATTTCAATGTTGTTATCGGCTATTGGTATTGATAGCAGTTTTAATCAAAATCAACTCAACTCAAGTTTCTCCACTCTTCAGGATGGTTACTGCCATTACAACTCTTCGAATACGGTCATCGGCGCAAGAATTGCATCCTATGTCAACGTGACTTCCGGTGATGAAGAGGCGCTAAAGATGGCCATCGCCGTGCAGGGCCCGACGGCCGTGGGTATCGATGCGGCGCATAAATCCTTCAGCTTCTACTCTCACGGTGTGTTTTACGAGCCGGATTGCAAGAACGGGCCTGACGATCTCGACCATGCTGTCCTGGCTGTAGGCTACGGGGATTTGAACGGGGAGCCATACTGGCTGGTGAAGAATTCGTGGAGCACCTACTGGGGTAACGACGGTTACGTTCTGATGAGCCGTAAGGATAACAACTGCGGAGTAACCACTGATGCTACCTATGTTAACATTGCGGCTTGAAGCTGTTGTTTTAGTACTGTTAGTTGCAATTTTGCTCCAAAAAGTTGTGATTTTTTTGGTTAATTTTGTTTCATTTTTTATCGTTTCGCAGTTGTGAGTTTAGTTGAGCTTCATTGTGATTTAAGTTGACGACCTGTTTCACATTGGAACGTGCGTACGTAGTTATCCAGTCCGGTCGGCAGCCGGAATGACTCGGTTGACCAATCGCTAAAGTTGTTATCGATGTGGTACTTCTTGCTGTGTTCTTCAATGAACAGTTTCTATTGCCGAATAAAAGCAATACTCTCAACTACACATCTGCACCTTATTGTTGTTTTGTTAAGCTTTGAAAAGGCTGAAAAATCTATCACGTGTGCTGCCTGCAAAATTAGCTTGAACATTTTCTGAATATTTATCTGTGTGCTGTTATTTAAAGGACACCTACATTAACATTTTGTGTTTCTTGATATTGTTTCCCTCATCTGTTACTTACCATATATTCCTAGAATCTATGGAAATAACTAGCGCTAAATGTGCAAATCAGCTGTTTATTAAGGGCTTAAACGCTGTCTTCCTAGTTCCTGCTCTTAAATTCACAATCCGCTTCGCATAGCTTTTTGAGCGCGTCAGTATCAGAAGCAAGCCAAGGGCCTTTTATGCGCTTCCACAACAGTCACTAGTAGGCACTGCGTAATAATTGCATCCTGAAATGTTTCCATAACCGGATAGAAAGATTACTGCCACTTCCCATGCCAGACTTGATACCGAAAGATGTTTCCGCGTAGTTGGGAACTTGGGTCACGTCTGGCTCCATAAACGTTGCTGTAACGTCTGTAAGTACTTCTGTTTCCAACCGCACTGAACGGCGATTACTTGTTATCCAGCAACAGCACGCCTGAGCACGGATGCGTCGAATATCAAAACAAAACTTACCAAAAGTTAAAACTGAGAAGTGTTGCGAATTAATTTTGCGTGTTTAATTTCATTTGGTGATTGTTTTATTTTCGTTAGTTCGTTTTACGCGAAATGGCTCAGCCAAGCCTACCCGTATCTGCGGTAATTCGATCAAAGCAGGACGGTGGAGAACTGAAGAAGGCCAGCAGAGATGACTACCAAAAGAAAAGCAACAAGGAACTAGAAAAAGCAAAAGCTGGCACGGTTCCTGCTGAACAGGACGAAGAAGGACGATATTAATCCCCATTCCTCATTATATCGCATCTTCCCCTTGGTATCTGGGATCCGTCGGGCCCACACTCAAGCATCAGCGTATTCCGGACGAAAAGGTGAAAGTTGCTGCCCCATAACGGAATGGTACAAGAAAGGTGTGAGGGCAACACTGCCACCAAATTCAGAAAAGGCGCTTGCGAGAATGTGGTGCGATGACACATCAGAAGAAGGACTGCTTGGAACGGCCGAGAAAAATTGGAGCAAAATATACTGGGACGGATATCGCCCCTGATGAGCATGTCAATACTGCAATTGGACTGGATTTTGAAGGTAAGCCCAATCGGACCAGAAACCACGCTGCACGATAGTGTTCGTTGTGCGACAATTCGTGCTTTCGGATAACTTTTGCTTATGTTAAATTCGTCGATATGTTAAAATAAAATTTGTGCGATTAATTTGTAATAACTAGTTTGTTTGATAGCGACAAATGCGAATTTATAAAACAGAAATTTACAAAACCTGACTTTACAAAAGCTGCATAGGAGCTAAAGTTTCCTGGTTTCGACGACTAATGATTTACCAAACATGATTTACACAAGCTAACATTTTCTGGAAGCTGCCAATCAGACATACCTAAAAGTAAACACTGTTCAGGTGAAGTTAAGAACGGATATGGTAACGAAATATCTTTCTGTAGGCAAACGCGATCGGTGGAACGGCTACGATCCCAACGAGTACAAAGCCGTGGTAGAAGAATATTCTAAATTAGAACAAGTCAAACGCTTGTTGAAAGCGGACAAAGTGCAGCAGGCGGACAACGCAGAGTTCCGCGAACGAACCGCCGAAGAAGATGCAGAAGTAGCGGAAGTTAAACCGGACGGAGATCAGGTAGAGGATGAAGACAAGTATGCGGACGACATGGAAATGCCTGGCACAAAAGTGGATTCAAAACAGCGCATCACCGTCCGCAACCTGCGTATCCGTGAAGACACGGCCAAATACCTCCTGAATTTGGACCCCAATTCAGCATACTACGATCCCAAGACCCGCAGCATGCGAGAAAATCCGCTAGCCGATCAGCCAGTCAAAGCTAGCAATGTCACATTTGCTGGCGAGAATGTTGTACGATATTCCGGCGAAACGAATAAAGTGGCACAATCCCAGTTATTTGCATGGGAAGCTTCGGAGAAGGGCATTAGTCTCAACCTCCAGGCCGATCCCACGAAGGCGGAACTGCTGGGAAAGCAGTACGAAGAAAAACGGAATGAGTTTAAAAAGACCATTGAGCGTAGTGTACTGGATAAGTACGGCGGCGGAGCATTTGAAGCGCCACCGAAAAAATGCTCTTGGCCCAGACCGAGACGTTTGTGCAGTATTCGCGACGGGGCGAGGTTCTTAAGGGTATGGATACCGTTGTCGTACGGTCGCGCTACGAAGAGGATGTTTATAACAATAACCATACGTCGGTCTGGGGATCATACTGGGAGAACAGGGTTGGGGATACAAATGTTGTCATAGTTTCGTCAAGATGTCATACTGTACGGAATGGCAGGAATATTGGCTAAAAAAGATAAAGAGTCTGGGGATACTCCGCTAGCTGTACCGGAAGTCCTGAGTAATCCTGTGGGTACGGAAGAACAACAGCGGAAAAGAAAACTTAGCACTTCCAGTTCCTCCTCTTCGTCATCGTCGTCTTCCTCCTCATCTCCTTCGTCGGAAGAAAGTTCTTCCAGTGAGGATGAGGAAAACACTCAAAAAAGAAGATTAAAGCCGCCATGAAAGCTCAAGAAGAGGAAGAAAAGGAAACGATTGATGGCAATGGATGAACGGAAACGACCGTACAATAGCATGTACACTGTTATTAAAAGCTGACGGATGAAGAGATTGAAGCCTATAAAATGCGAGAAATCGGGCGGATGATCAATGGCTAGTTTTGTTAAGAAAACTGATGCATCTGAAACAAGCACTTTATGCATACTGAAATCTTATCTTATGTACATTATCTTATGTACATGTACATCTTATCTTATGTACGTACTGAAATCTTATGTACATTGTGCAGTAATAATTTTATGTGCTTGCTTTAATTTAAGATTATTTAAGGTGTGGTATTGCACCGGCAGCGTTACTGTGGTTTAAAGTGACTATTCATTTTTTTACCATGTGGAATCTACGGTACAGTACTTTTAGTTCTGTCTGTAGCTGCAGATTGGTGAAAATAACTGCTCTAACACTGTACAAACGTTTGACCAAGACAAAACATAGCACAGTTGATCACATATAATAATGGATTGTTAGAAATAATAAAAAATCGTGCAGGGAGATGTCAGGTGGGAACAGTGCGCAATATCCTTCGTAGTTCGTACTTCGTAGTGAAATTGTAAGTACGCTGTCGTGCAATATAATTGAAAGACGTTGTCAGATCTTCCTATACCACTTCCCAGACCACGACCAGTCGGAGGAATAGAGCGACTCTTAATCTCAACTTCTTATGTATTTCATGGAGCGAAAGTTCAAGGATGTTGATGTACAAGTATGAGATGATATGCAAGGAGGAAGAAGATCCGGAACTCGAAAGCCTGCTGAAAGAGAAGACACGAAAGGAAACACAAGGATGCGTGAAGTTATACGTTACCTGTCCGACGCTAGATGGTAGCCGAAGCGTGTGACAATCCATCAACCTGGCGCTACCAGGGCATGAGGATCGAGAGGACCGAAAGGTCAAGGCAAACAAGTGGGATCAAGTGGGTAGCCTGTTACGTCACGAGACTATCCGAAGATGATAATGCACGTCGACGAAGTAGAGGAATGACCTGACAATAGGTGAAAGGTCACCCAGAGGTCAGTTTGAACAGGATCCTCACTTTGGAAAGAAGACCAGAGCAAAAGCCTGAAGTTAATCAGATCGAGTAACAAGACTCTACTTTGTTGGGATTACAACTCTTGACATTTCTGTGGGCGACAGCGCCTTATATAGCCCTGGGCACTCGCAGGTGCTGGCTCTTCGTACGCGCAGGTACGGGTCTGAGAACAATAGGGATTTAGAACCTAACCAATAAGAGACATCTGAGGACACGTGGACTAATCACACGGCTGCATCACTACACGTGGACTAATGAGAACATCAGGTCAACTAATACACTAGAACAATAGGTTGAGCTACGTCATCGAAGCGCGGTCACGTCGAAATGGAAAGTCGCGGTCAAAGTGACACTCAGAGTCGCGGTCATGACTCGCGTAGAAGATGTAGTAAAGCCTAAGCCTTAGTTGTGGGTAGAAGTAGTAAAGTAGTACCGATGTGTACTAAGGGACGCCAGTACACGTCACCCCGCAAAACGAGATTTCTCTGGATCGTAGTGGAACCAAAGTGAAGCTCTGCGGAACGACGTGGAACGAAGAGGAAGGAACATAGGGACATAGGAAAAAACAACATCTGCTCCATCCGCATAGTGCGTGCAACATCTAGCACTATCGCCAAATTCCATCCCGACTATCCGGTGCCATCAAAAGTAAGTGACATCGCTCGGTCCGGTAAGTTGTTAGTGAGTTTGAGTGTTATAGGTCATCGGATCCTGGAGCGTAACTGGCAATCCGGAAGTCCAAGGAAGTGGAAAGGCGGAGAGCAGGAACGTCCATGAGATCCAGGGTGTTATCGTATTCAAAAGATATCGAATCATACTGCACAGCTAAAATACGATGGAAAATGTCCTATAACTCCAAAATTACTGCTCCAGTTACTTCCGCTTTCTTCCATGTTTCCATACTTCATCCATACACCGAACGTTTATTCAACACACGACCGAAGTGAGAACTTAAACTTGTCTTCCGCTAACGTATATACAGCAAAATTGAGAACATATAAACGCGAAAAAAATTGACAATACACCGCAAAATCATGACAAAAATGCCAACGCACAAGGTTACAAACCATGACATCACTGAGGTTTACAGGCTGACTGCAAAATTATCCACAGAATTATTACGACGATGAGCTCTAGGATCAGGGGCGACAAGGTTATCAGATGACTGGACACGAAGACGACTGCGCTGCACATCAGGATATGAGGAACGAGACTGCAAACCGGACAAATCATTACGTTTAGCATCCGCCATACGAGCTCG